CAAAAGTTGCATGGGCAGTACGGAGATTTTCGGAGATCCAGGCGCACAATGCTCCGGGTCTTGGCTATCGTGATTCGTGTATACATGATAGGAAGGCAAGGAGTGAGTGAGCAACGGGAACACAGCGCCGCGGACCTGCGGATGATGATGCCATGCCTCGCGACGGTGCTCTTCCGACGACCATTTCATCGTACTCTTCTGAGCAGAGCAGAGCAGAAGCTCTCAGAAGTAAAAAGACAATTTTGCAACTCTCGAATCAAGATGACAAGTCAATGCGAAGCTTTCCAGCGGGTGCCCACTCCACGTTGAGATGGGAAAATGTGAATTTGAATGTCACGAACGGCTTCACTCGTGCTGTTCTGTCTGCGTCCTGGTGGAGCTTTCATGCGCGGTCGGTCATCCGAGTCCGATGTTGTGCGAGTCGCGAGTCTTCAACGGCAAGAAGTGTACGGAGCATGTTGTACATTCGCGACTGTTGTTGTGGAATGAACGGATCGGCGGGCGACTCAGGTGGAAGGTGCGGTGCATCAGCAGGTCAGAGACAGATTTGCAGGCAAATGTGAATGGTGAAACGCCACGGAATTTTGGCAGCTGCTGCGCAAAAAGACGAGGAACAGTTTTGCAGCAGAGTAGGACGAGCCTTGAGGCGAATGAAGCATGTCGAGAAGATGTCGAGAGAGAGAGGATCATCAAATAGAGAAGAAGTAAAGAATTGCAGTACAAACAGCACTCACACTGACAGTCTTGAGTTCACATTCAACATTCGTGATTCAATTTCACGCCCCATGTTTGAACAAAGCAGAGAGAGAGAGCTATATATGTATACCCTGTCGGGCTGCCGATCACGTGACAAGGTTTTGGTCGCCAAAAACCGCGAGAGAGCTGCAAAGTGCATGCAGCGCACAACGTTCATGGCGCTTGCTTGCTGATGCAATCGTGAATCCATCAAATCAACTCGAATTCGATCACACCTTCTGATGAGGCATGGATTCGCAACTTTCGCGTTATTCTTCCTTGACATTTTGACTTT